GTTAGGTACATTATAATCATGAAGTAGTTAGGTACATTATAATCATGAAGTAGTTAGGTACATTATAATCGTGAAGTAGTTAGGTACATTATAATCGTGAAGTAGTTAGGTACATTATAATCGTGAAGTAATTAGGTACATTATAATCGTGAAGTAGTTATGTACATTATAATTGTGAAGTAATTAGGTACATTATAATCATGAAGTAGTTAGGTACATTATAATCGTGAAGTAGTTAGGTACATTATAATCGTGAAGTATTAGGTACATTATAACTGTGAAGTAGTTAGGTACATTGTAATCATGAAGCTGTAACGTATCTTGTAATCGTGAAACAGATATGGGCATTGATTGCAATTATAAAGCAACTATGTACATTGTAATCATGAACCAGTTATGTACATTGTAATCATGAACCAGTTATGTACATTGTAATCATGAACCAGTTGTGTACATTGTAATCATGAAGTAGCTTTGGATAATTTTGCAAAATAAAAACATAATTTTCAAAATTATTCTCAGTACCTTGGACAATAGATTTCAATGCCCGACTAACAATATAAGTTAAAATATCATGTTTATAAAATACTACGTCTTCTTGATCCCTTCTTGTCCAAAAGTAAACTTCCAGTCCTCTTCTTATGATCTTGATCTTATTACTGTATGAAGTCAGCAGCTTTTGTCTTCCTTCTCCATTGATTACAGTCCTATGTATCATTTCAAGTTAACCGACCTCCCTTATATCCCTGTCCACCACGTCCCTCTACCGACTCCCTTATATCTCTCTACTCCACATCTCTCCACTGACCTCCCTTATATCCCTATACTACACGTCTCTCCACCGTATTCTCTGTCTTCCTCTTTCATTTTTTACACTCATCAATTCTTCATGATACTCCTTCCGTCTCTTATTAATGTTCTTTTAATCAGCTTGTTTGTTCTTTATTATATCAATTTTTCCAACATCTCTTTTAGTTTGTCCTCTTGATTTTGCTATCCTATATATTACCCGCTCTCCTTCCGGTGTTCCAAGATTTTATTACCACCGAACTCACATTGAAATACTTTAAATCATCGTCTTCATCGTCTTACAACTTTTTAAATGATCATTAGCTTCTGATCAAAAGCAAGCTAATTTTATAACCCAGAACGAAAACCTAACTCGTATATTAATGAAATTTATTCTGTATGAAAAACTGACTAGACGTTCTTAAACTCATACATCTAAGCACAACAAAGCTGAAGCCTGTTACGATTAGAATAAATTGAATCATTAATTGGTTACCCTTGTTGTTAACGTTACTCTCGCCCGTAATTCAAATTATTTCACGAGGCTTGACCAATTTAGAAGGCTTGTTCTAAATCCATATATTAAAGCAAACAATTCAAAATATTTGTCATAAGAATGATAATTAAAACAAATAAGATTATTCAAAATCATTTGGAATATTATAATCACAATTTTATTTAAACTTACTATAAGTAAAAATGGAAGATGCCATTAT